AAAAAAAGAATTCAGCTGAGCATGGGCTGGCCAGATAGCTCAGTGGACTATAAGCGCCTGCTTTGGTAGAGCGCAGCGGCTAGGGTTCAATCCCCGGCATGCCATTCCGGCCCCTTTTCCCTGGGGTGCATTGAGTAAATGAGACTGGGCTCCATGGTGCATGCCTGTAAATCGCAGTGCTTGGGAGGCTGAAAACAGGAGAATCACTATGAGTTTGATCTACGTAGTGAGACCCTATAGACCCTGTCCTAAATTTTAAAAAAATCCAGCTGAGGGTCTGGATCTTAATATATTGCATGAGTCCAGATAGAAACCTAGAGTTCATAACACTGCCTCCCACAAGTCTACCCGGAGGCCTAGAGGCCAGGACAATGTCTCATTCAGGCCTGTTTCATGGGTCTGTGCTTGCTGGAAAGGCCCCAGGGCCAGTGGTGCGAGTTAGAAACTCTGTAGTGGGATGAAGGAGCTGTGCCAGCAGGCTGAGGGACCTGCGCTGGAGCCAGGAAGCAACGCTCAGGGTAAGCAGCAGAGCTCCCCAAAGGTACCACAGCCATCCTCTGCAGCAGCGAGGACCAGCGAGGGGGGAAGCCGAGTTCCCATCAGGAGAGCCAATGCGACAAGCTCCTCTGTGAGGCTGAGCAGTGCACCAGCTTCCCCTCTGCAGCCAGGAAGCGATGCTCAAGATGAGGACCAAAGTTCACCGGGAAAGCCAGCATGACAAGGTCCTCCGGCAGAACAGCCCAAGAGAACTAGCAGCCTCCAACGGCTTCCCTAACAGCGGTTCAGCAGCTTCTCCTGTCCTGCCTTTATGCCGCTGGCAGCAACCCTCAGCTGGGCCTCCCACGCCCAGCACCGAGCTAGTTCAATTCAGCTGGGTGTAATAAGTTGCCCACCAGTTAGAAATCCACTACATATGGGTTAACTTATTAAAATCCTTGAATCTGACTTTTGGGGAGGATCAAAAAGAAAATCTTGCATCATAGAGCCTGCATTTCCCCCTTGTCAACAATAGGTCACAGGGCTGGTGAGATGGCTCAGTGGTCTAAAGCTCCTACTTAGAACAAGCTTAGCAAAGCAGAGGGACTGTGGTTCAATCCCCCAGCACCACATGCCAGCCAGCCCCGCCCCCGGTGGGCTGAGCTGGCCACACACACACACACACACACACACACACAAATAAAATAAATTTAAAAAAAAAAA